CTAGGAGAGAATAAATTTCTTCCATGTCAAGTTACCAGGTTTGTGATAATTCGCTGAGGCAGCCCTAGGGAACTCATATAGAAGATAACATAGAAGACTGACTTAGTGACCTGGGGATCGGGAAAGATTTCTTAAACAAGATATAAAGCACACCAGCCATTTAAGAAAAAGATTGACATAGCCCTATACATTAAAATCATGGTCTTTGAATATTAAAAGACACTGCAGTGAGAATTAAAGACACGCCATGAACTAGGAGGTATGCTGCGGATATAATCAACAAAGTACTAGCTCCAAAATATACTTTTATGAATCCACTAGGAAGCCAAACAATTTAGTAGGAAAATGAGCCAAAGTAAGTAAATCTATCAATAAAAATTTATAGGAAAAGCAACACAAGTGGCTCATAACGATATGAAAATATGGTCAGCTTCATTAGTAATCAGAGAAATAAATATTAAAACAAGAGTTGTCATTCCACACCAATCAGATTAGCAAAAAATTAAAGAATAAAAGATCAGCAAAAATGTAAAAGTCTGATAATATCAAGCATTAGCAAGGAAGCAAAGCAACAGGAAATCTTGAACATCACTGGGAGAGTGTAAATTGTGACAATCAAGTTGAAAAGTTGTTTGACATTATCTAGTAAAATTGCAGAGGTACACACTTTACAACGCAATAATTCCACTCCTAAGAAAATGTGGCCAAGAAACATAAATAAGAATAGGATTACCAGAAAAACAGAAGCAACCTAAATGTCCATCTTCAGTAGAATGTGCAAAACAGTGATCCTCTTTGTACAATGTAATACTGTCTCCATGTACAAATGAATGTACTGGCACTATACGCACCAACAGGCAAGTAATAGCAGCAAAAATCCATTTATATAAATTTTAAAACAAGGCAAAATTAAACTGTGTTGCTTAGGGAAGTATAGGTAGGTGGTAAAACTCTAAATAAGGGCAAGGTAGGGGGAGGTATAGCTCAGCAGTAGAGCCCATGCTTAGCATGAAGAGGTCCTGGGTTCAATCCCCAGTACCTCTTTTTAAAACAATAATAATAATAATGATACATAAGGGCAAGGAAAAGATGATCACAGCCACCACAACAATGGCCAACTGGGAGCAGGTGAGACACACGAGGCATTCCCAGGGAAGCAGCAGTGTTCTATTTCTGAACCCAGCTGGTAGTGTCAAAGCAAAACCAGACCTGGACAGTAGTCAAAGTGGTAAAGACAGATGTTATTCAGGACTATTGCAAAAGGGGAGAAGGGATCTCAGGACAGAACCTGCTCAGTTCTGAATATAGCAGAGCCAAGTGGGAATTTATAGCTGAGGAGCAGGGTGGGGGGCAGTGGATGGGAAATTACTAAGAGGAAACATCCAGGGTTGCGGGGTGGGGGGGAGTCTGGCTAATCTGACCTAAAAGGATTCTTACTGAAGACGTGCTGGAGGGATCAGACGTCACCTGGGGGGACAGAGGAGGACCAGGAACCAGATTAGATGATGAGAGTGATCAGATATGGCAGATGGGGGATTCTTGCTACACAGACTTAGCAGGGTTCTTACTGAAACTAGACTTTAAATGGAAGTGCACAGAAGGAACTAGAAGGTTCAGGATTCTGATTAAAATTTGCCAAGCAAAGAATCTTTGTCAGTAGTTACATGGGTGTATTCTTAGAATTATTTTTAAGCTGCATATGTTTTATAGCCTTTTGTATATATGATACATTCCACAATTTGAAAAATTTATAACAGATGACCTAACTGGAAGACAGGTGGAAGGGAAACTACTAGGAAACGAATTTGTGGGGACATACGTTATGGTTCAGTGTTAGGATTTCTAGTTTCTGCTTAATCCCCTTAATCACATTCCAGGGTAATTTTTCATTCAGTTATTCATTCATCCATTCACTACTTATTGAGTCTTTCTAGTTGCAGGCACTTTTTTAAACAGAAGAGTGTATAGTTGCTTAAAACCTGGTCAGGGAGAAAAATGATTTGGATCACAACCACACAGCATGGTAAATACAATGATACGAGTGTACAGACGAGAGGACTCAGGGGCATGACTCCTGAAACGAGCACTGAAGCATATCTAAGCCAGACGAAGAGGGTCATGGCATTCCAGACCAAGGGAAAGCATCTACAAGGAAGGTAAGGAACAAAACACTGAAGCAGCACTAAAGGACTGGTTTTGCTGGACTAGAGGGTACATATTAGGAAGCGGTGAGGGATTTGATTAAAGATCTGGGGAAACAGAAGCGGACTCACAGACATAGAAAACAAACTTATGGATACCAGGAGGGAAAGGAGGTGTGGAGGGATAAACTGGGAGTTCGAGATTTGCAGATAGTGACTACTACACATAAAACAGATAAACAAAAAGGTCCTACTATATAGCACAGGGAACTATATTCAGTATCTTGTAATAACCTATATTGAGAAAGAACATGGAAAGGAATATATGTGTATAACTGAATCACTACACTGTACACCAGAAACAAACACAACATTGTAAATTGACTGCATTTCAATTAAAAAAAAAAAAGGCAGAGGGCAGGTTATGAAAGGCCTTGTCAGAATCATTAGAATTAGGGTTGGCTGTGAGTGACCGATTATCCAAAACAATAGTGTAAACAAGACAGAGGTTTAGTGCTTTGTCATGTGAACCACGTGTCTGGGTAGGTGGCGGCTTCTCTGATGCTTTGTTCGCACTGAGTCCAGGATCCAGACACCCTCTCTTTTTACTGCTCCATGGTCCAAACACAGCTAATGACTAGCACAACACAGGCTTTTAAAATAAAAGTGATTTTATTATAAAATTCTAAAAACGTGCTTCAAAGGACAGTCACGGGAATACTGCATAATAAGAAGGAACATATCTTTATAATCCAAGCAATCACATAGCAGATTTTACATTGTCCATGGAATTAATATTTAAAAGACATTCTTCTTCTTTTCAGTTAAGAAGAGTCTTCAGAGCACCATTATTTGAAAGGAAGGTATTTTGCCCATTAGAGTTCATCTTTGGTCTGCAATTAAGAAATAATATTTAGAAACATCAAGAAGTCTTCTATGAGTCTAGATGACTTACATTAGTTTCTTAATTGTTTTCCCTTAAAGATCAAAGAAGGAAAAAAATAGCCAAGTTACTGCTAGAGGCTTTTAGGACCTGGGACTATTCCTGGAATCACCCAAGGGTAAGTCACATTGATGGGGAACCTGATGGGGGTCCCTTTCATTTCTGGCAGTTTCTGCTTCGTCACTGGCTTTAACTGATTTTATGGTCCGACAGCGCTGAGAGGGGTTCGCGCTGATGGTGCACTGCTTGAGGGCCAGTTAGCGGCAGAGCAGTCCTCCAACAAACCAGAACAAAATGAAACAAAACAAAGCTGATTCGTATCATGTGCTGTTGTCATGGTGTAAATACTCCCACCAGGTGGATCCCAAGCTACCAACACTTAACTGCTGTGCAAAATTCCTAAATTTCACAATCAGTGAGCCCATAAAAGTTGGTTCCATCACACCACAGGGACTAGGAGTCACCTTGTTCCTTTTAAACCCCCTTGAGAGGCAGATGTAATAACTATCATCTTTGGGTTCAAAGTCACCGTTTTGAGTTTGTCTGTTCTGAGATCTGACGAGGTTGCTTGGGATAATGTCAAGCCAGCATATTACATATATGAATATATACATAATTTTATACAACATATATTCCTTTAAGCAAAAAACAACTATAATCAAAACAACCCTCCCCTGCCACACTGTCTTTCTACACTACTATGCACACAATTTGAGAATGATACACTGGTTTTGGGTCCTTGTTTTGCTATAATCCAGATAGAGGATTCTGAGCTAAAGTCTTCTTTGGGCTCGGTTTTCTTAACTGTAAAATGAAGGCATTTACTGAGTGACCTCTGCTAAGGTCCTCTTCAGCCTAGCAAGTCCATACGTGAATCTGCCGCTTACAAAGGAAATCAGTATGTGGTGGTAGCAACAGAGACTGCTTTCAAATGAATAATCTGTTCACATGAGTAATCATGGTTATATATTTTTTCATTTCTAAATTGGGATGATGAATTTGGCAGAAGCTCTCTTACAGGGAGATGAGGCTATGAGATGACACGTGTGAAAATACTTCACAAACTGTAATTATTCAATCTGATCTGAATTCTCACAATAAAACAGGCTTCCCTCCGCTTTGCTGGGAGCCCCGTGTGTTATCAGTTCACTGCATCTTAGCGCCCATCTTTTGCCTCTTTGGGATCTATTATATCTGAATCTGGTAGAACGAATTGCTTGGAGGCGCCAAGAGGAATTCGGATAGTTGTTGCCTGACTGAATGAGTTAAGGAATAAGGACTTAGATCACTGTCAGTTCTTACTCTGACGTGGGTCAGAAGGTCAGCTCTGGTTACCTTCTTCCTGTGGCACGTACAAGGAAAGAGGTCATCTTCAGTCTGTGGTTCCACTCTCTTCATGCCCTCTCGGATTTGGGGCTCACTCACTTGTAAACTGGCATATTCCTGTGTCGGCAACAGTACAAAAGCATGTCTGATATAACGCTTAGCAAGTTCGATACGCTGGAGTTTGCTCGAATGCGGTCCATTTCACTCACGTGTCAAGTTGTGATGGGCAAGGTCCTCCCTACTTAAGCACCCCACAGAGCTTCTGAGAAGCCGCTGTCCTCCGGGCACGGGCTGCCTAGTGTAACAGACCACTGCTTATTCCATCCTTCATTTATATGACTTGTATGGTTTTGTGTGTGTGTGTGTGTGTGTGTGTTTTTCCACCTTCTGCCATGTAGTGAAAATAACTGTGCTCACTATCTTCCCTAGACTGAGAATCTGAGGACTGACCATTCCTGCTGGACCCACCACGTCTTGTACAGCCTCAGTTGCACCTTCATTCCTCATGTGTTTGCTCTGTGCCGGGCTCCAGGCCAGGTGCTTATGCTTATACTTGAGTTGAATGAATGAACTCTACCTTGTGGGTCTTTAGGAATTCAGATAGTAAACCCCCCTGGCTCCATCAGTCTACACATTTCCACATCCCCTAGGAAAGGTTATAAAGGGGGAGGGGCCAGTGCAGACCAGAAAAAGACCAATTTTGTTCTGTAGCAGTGTCTAAGACTGGGGGCTTAATATTTTCAATTCTGAAATTAAAAAAAAAATCTTAACTTAGATCTAGCACTATTATTTGCAAAGTACCTGTTTCCCAGAGCATTTTTTTTTAAAGAACTTTTCAAATTGTCAGATATGCTTTGATTACAATCCTTAAATGCATGAAAATATTTTCCAAGAAAAGTCATGGCTCATTTGGGGTCAGTACAACCAGTCCAAACATGCTTCGCACTGTTTAGACAAGGAAGTGGTGAGGCAGCAGCAAAGTTGTGCAAAGAGGAAATACAGATCCGTGCACAGTACCTTTGGAGGGTCAGACGCCAATTTCCTCACCACATACTATATGCTCCTAACAGTGATACTTTTCTCTCAATGCTGTAGCATTCTCCATTAGCTGATCTTTGGTTTCCTATTATTTTCATTATTATTTGATATTTGTCCCTGATTTTGCCTACAGAGGTATACACGTACCTCTTTAATTCATTCACTTTTAGAAATTAAGTGAAATATTCCTTGCTATTAACAGAACTGACCATTACAAGTTGTATGTCTACTTTCTTAGAAAATACTGACCTGGAAAAGTTTAAAATAATAGCAGAATATATCATCACCCATGAGATTATTTCTTGCAAATTCTTGTCCTGTTTTTGCTATCTTCTTTGCCTATGGGAACAAAAATAATATCCCTTTCATGAAACATACTTTTCCCCATGTGGACACATGCTAACTGATCTTCAGAGTACATTTTAGTGGGAAAATAATGGGGAAAATATCTTTGGGGTCTTACGTGATAAAGGGAACATTTAACAGAATATGTTTGTTCCAATTAAAGGGATGTTTCTGAGAAGTTTTGAAAGTCTGAGAAGTCATATTGGATCTTCTGGAATTAGCTTCTCTTGGAAAGAAAAGGTAAACATTAAATGAAGTAACAATAACTTTGTAAATTCAAGATGAAGCTTAATGCACTGCTTAACAATTTTCATCTTATTTCATGAATCCCTCATTTTAATCCATTGCACAGTCAGTTTTCCTCCTGCCATATTGGCCATCTTAATTTTCACACTGTGAGTAGAGTGAAGCAGTGCTAGAGGCTCAGGTCAAACTGTCTAGAAGACAGCATGATCAAGGCCAAGGTTTAGCTTTTAGTTTCATGTGCATGGTGGACAGTTAACCAAGTCACAACACCTGTGTTCACCCTGAACTGTGTTGTCCATGGAGAGGTGGCTTCCCATTTACAGGTGAGGGTCTACATCTAAGCATCCTGAATGCTCCCCAGGCACAGGACCTTGAAAATGAACCCATGATATTGGGCTACAAAGAGACTGACCTTACCTCCTCATCGTGATCTTTTGCCCATTGAAGTTTTTCTAGGAGGTCGCTCAGGTTGCTTTTAACCGGAATGTAGTGTTTCCAGGGCTGCAGCTCATTATAAAAGTGTTCATAGTAGATGGAGTCCTGCTTCAGGACGACACTGTCGCCCACCAGCAGATATGGCAGGCGGTATGCGGCGACAGTGCCGTCCACATTTATCTGATACTTATGCTGCAAAACAGCAATATCGGATAAGAGCCTTCACTAAATTTCTCTTTTTCCACTCTCTTTATTCTCGTCTTCTTTCCACACATAAAGCCTCACTATCCTCAGATACAAACCGGCCAGATTTTGCCCTTGGCCTCCACCAGTTGATGAGTGTTACTGCATCCAATATGCACACCTGCACCTAAAGGCGTATTTTGATGTTCTCCCAAATTTCACAAAGGGGCCATGAGGCTAAGGCTGGAGCAGCCAATAAAATTATAAAATTGTTGTCCTAAGGCTACAACCTAAGGGAAGACAGATTTTTCTTTTTTTATTGAAGTATAGTCAGTTAAAAAAAAAAGCCTACAAAAATAAACCCCAAACAATTAACAAAATGGCAATAAGAACATACTTATCAATAATTACCTTAAATGTAAATGGATTAAATTCTCCAACCAAAAGACACAGACTGGCTGAATGGATACAAAAACAAGACCCATATATATGCTGTCTACAAGAGACCTACTTCAGAGCTAGCTGAAAGTAAGGGGATGGAAAAAGACATTCCATGCAAATGGAAACCAAAAGAAAACTGATAAGAGACACCTGGTTTATATTTCTTCTTTAGACCATTGTGATGCTATTGCTCTGGGGAGAAATATTTGTAAAATCACTTGTATGTATTTATTAACAAAAAAGGATCTGGAGCCAAAATGTGCTACTCTTGAGGGTCGGCTGGGGGACAAATCAGAGCTCTACCCAGGTCCCAAACTCCCTTGATGCGTATTTAATGTCAGGTCTAGAAACTGAGCATAACCCAGGTTATCCAAACAGTGTCCGGGGCCCCGTGCCTTGAAGTTCACTACATTTTGCGCTCACCTCTCCCACTCCTTGTAATTTACAGGCCTCGATTTCCCTCCCCAAAATGAAGGTATTTGGAAAAACAGAAAGGATTTGCCACAGATGATATCATACCTTGAAGAAATCAAAGAATGAAATGTGCTTCACAAGGGGCCCATACAGGCTTTCGTCATGTTTAAAGAAGAAAAAGTTGGTGAAAGCAGCATCTATAAGTTCCGGGTGTTTTCTGCTCAGTTTCACCAGCTCAAGTCTCTCCTTTCGGCTGTCTCGCCCTCTCCAGACAGCTGTGGCGTTTTTGCTTTCCCAGGGAGGCCCCGTGTTAGCTTGCACAGACATCATATCCAAACTCACTCTGGAAGACAGAAAGTGCAACAGATTCTTCCCCCGCATCATCACGTCGCAAAGGTCACTGGGAAAGAACTCACCAAGGAAAGGAAACCAAGGCTCTGGGTCTCTTCGACCCGGGTCTCTCACCGGCCCATGGTTTCTAGAACGGAGTCAGTCAGGTCGTAGGTAGGCATCACGATATCCTTGGAATCCGTGGAGCCACACCAGGAAAAGATGGGATGGATGTGTGAACTGGATTTCTTTTTTTCCAAAGGCCAGTCTCCTAAGTTAACAAAAAACTCCACATCTGGCATCTTCACCTGGGAAAAGAAAGCCAAGGGCTGATTCACATTTCTTCAGTCGGATAATTCCTTCTATTTATCAGTGAGCTGGGAAAGGCTGGCTCGAGCACACAGCCTTTCGTGGCCACAGAAGAACGGAAGATGTGAAGATACCCAGGGATGATGCCACGTGGTGGCAGAGAGAGTGGAGGGTGCACCTGCAAACTGAGGAACCCCAAGGATTGCTGACACCCCCAGAAACTAGAAGAGCCTAGAGAGGACTCCCCGCTACAGGTTTTAGAGGGAGCATGGCCCTGCTGACACCCTGATTTTGGACTTCTAGCCTCCAGAATTGTGAGAGAACAACTTTCTGTTGTTTTGAGCCACTCAGTTCACATGCTTTGTCACAGCATTCCTAGGAGACTAACACAGGTGTCCTACATGACATAAAACCTCAGAAGACTATCACGGTACTTCAGGCTCCAGAACAGAACCCCCCTGAAATTTCTCTTATTTTTATTTTTAAAAATTATATTGTAGAACCTGGGCTTAGACTGTCCATTATACATAGGCGAGAATAGAAAAGAAATACTTACTTTTCTAGTCAAAGAAAGTAGTATGGCATCCATGAAAATTCTAAAACCTACATGTTCACCATGAGTCTTGATATAAACCTGGAAGAGAATAGAATGTTTATTCTGTTAGTCTAAGAGAACTGGCTGACTTCACTGAGATAAAGCTGATCTCAGTGATCCGCAGAGTGATGTTTTAATAAAACTACATATCTGGTTGTAGTCAAGTGGTCAAAGCCAAAATCACTAAGACAAACAAGCAAACCTCGATCATGAACTGTACCTTGTTATCCTTCAAGGTATAATGACATAAACTCTGTCTTTGTCCAAATCTTTTCGGGATTTCTGCTGCAATCTTTTCTGGATCAACGGTGGGGAAATGTGCCAGATCTCTCTGAATCTGAGTAATGGTTTCCGGGCAGTTCATCTCCCGAAGCCAGGCTGCACTGTCTTCCAAAGGACAGTCACAATTCTCATGGTAAACCGGCCCTAATGACACACGAGGAACAAAATATACAGTATTAACTTCACTCGGCATTTGAAACATGTAACAAATACCCATAATAGGACTTCACACATTTTGCCTAGATGGGAAGGGCGTTTTGATGGGAAAAATATTTTAAAAAGAAAAATATTTTTATTACACTGTGGTATCGCTAACAAGTCTGTTCTGACTGCGCTTTACAGTTAAGTCCTAGGGTATTTTCACAGTCAGGCCCTCTTGGTACAAGTTCAAAAGAAAGCCAATGGTACTACTTTTCTGCTCTCAGTGGCTACCAGAGTCCATTATTCTTTATCTTCTGTGTACTTAAGAATAACCAAACATTGGTAAAACATAAAAAAGGAGGAGTAAGTGTTTTAATGAAAGACAAAAATGATAAGAAATTAGTATTTCAATGGTCTATGATACAATCAAGTTCTTAAAGTGTCTAAGGTACTCTTCTCAATGGGTAATACAGTCAATACAGGTAAAGCCTCCTTCCTGTGTTTGCTATTTTTGTGAAGAATTATAAAGAAGTAATCTGCAAAACACTCATTCACTAATATTATAATGAATTACATTTACAGAAATAATACTAATATAATATAATACTAACAGAATCTGAATTGACATTTTATTGTCATTTATTCTTCTAATTCTCAGATTGTCACCTGACCCAGGCAGTAGTAGACACTGGGATACCTTTTTAAGGTTCAGCAGGTTATATGGTACGAGGTGGTCCTGGTGGAGTGTGGGAAAGACATCTAGACATTTTTTGAGAAACATTTGCCTTTCTTGCGGCACGCGGACAAGGAAGATGTGTGTGTCTGTACAAACACTGCTTTTCTAGTATTTGAGGGTGCCGTCTCCACTGAGAGGAAATGATACGGCTCTAGGTAAGAAAGCTGTACTCTCATCCTCTGTCAGAACACATCAGAGGATTTCTTGGGAAAACTGGTAGTGAAACGAAGACAAAAAACCACAGTCAACTTCCACTCTCTCTCTTTCTGAAGTGACTGATCAAATTTCAATAACATTTGTTGGTTACTTAAATCACACATCTCTAATTAAGAGCGAGCCATCTATGACCGTGTGTATATGGCTGGATTCTTCTTGCTAATGTTGTGTCTTCAAGGAGCAAATTCTCTATCAATATGTTCTTTCCTCTTTAGCCAATTATAATTTCCATTCAAATCTTGCATTTCTCTCTTTTACCAGGACTCTCCATTCAAGTAGGAGATGTGCATTTTTTTTTTCAGTGAGAAAAATAGCATGCTAACTTGTTTTTATTGATTGAAAGACATTCATTATTGTATTCAAATACTGTTGTTTTAAAATTATGTTCCAAATGACCTTTCAAAATATATGGAGATTTGGCTACATGTTGGCCTTGGAATTTTACTTCTATCTTCAGATTTTTGTAGCTTGCATACATCCTGTATCTTACTATGAAGGACCCATCTTTTCGGTCTAAAACCTGGACTCCAACTCTAGTGAATTGCTCATCTGGTGCTGAGATTTTAATCTGGAACACCTTTTCACCCGGAGAAGATGTGAATCTGTGATGGGAAGAACAGTAAGATATAAAGATTATTTTAACAAACGTACAAAGATTATGTTCTCCAGTCTGTGAACCTTAATCTTCTCTCCCACATCCTCCCCTAACATGTTTGCTTCTCTGTCCTTATGCTTTTAGTACCAGAATGAATATGACAGAACAGACATTAAAAAAATTAAAAAGAAGAGGATGACAATGGCCAAGATAATATAAAACAGTTTCATTAGAAAATTGCAAAGAACAACAAGTTCATACTGTATAGCACAGGGTAATACATTCAATATCTTGTAGTAATTTATGGCGAAAAAATATGAAAATGAATATATTTATGTTCCTATATGACTGAAGCATTATGCTGTACACCAGAAGTTGACACACTGTAAACTGACTATACTTCAATTAAAAAACTATATATATATATGTAAATATATATAGAAAAAAAGAAAATTGCAAGGGAATATGTTAAGACTACTAATCTATGTAAACAGAACATACTTACACTTACGCATTTCATATATAAACACAGTCTCATCAAACTACTACTTACTTCATGCCCATCACATCTGGAAATTTGTGATCAAATACTGCCTCTAAAGATAATGATTTTCTGACAAATCATTCTCAGTGATTCGTTAAGAAATCAGTATTGTAAATCATGCTCAGCCATGGGCAAAAGCTACGAGGTGGTATATCATGTAAGTGATGCTGTAAAAAAGTTTTTTCTTTTGAGTGAGTGCTCTTAGTGTTAAGATTAAGATGGTATTTAGTTTCTCCCATTGCACTATTTATAGCCAAGTGACAAAAATTTATAACCTTCCTTTTCTTTGCTTTGGAAAACATTCCTAAGATTTTTTTGCCTGCCAAATATACGTAGTCAGCATCCACACACACACACAAAAAAGGTAGTCATTTCAGAAGTACGTGAATGCTATAAAAATTTTTAAGTATAATTTTAATTGTTGAATTCCATGGAATGACATAAAGTTGTAAGAAACACACAAGGGATTCACATTTTGATATTTTCCCTCTCAACTATAAAGTTGCAAATAGTGCTGTAGTTCTCTATTTCAGTTTCAAAGCAGCTTACCTGCATGTCTACCTACAAACAGAGGGCAGCACCAGAGAAAGCTGAAACCAACCAGTTTCTAACAAGTGGGTTTAAATCCTTATAACAGTTTATGCAGAAGGACTCAGAAAGTACTTCCAGCAAAGTGCAGGGGTTTGTTCCAGCCATGTGGGAATCCCTATCAAAACAGCCAGGAGAAAAGCTTATTCAAAATTATTTCGAAAGCTACAGAGAAAAATGGACTGGAACGGGGTAAGACTGTTAAAATCAGATGTGAATAGCATCCAAATGTCCTGGATTTTAAACTGCTATTTAGAAATGAGTTCTTGGGTGGATAATACTTGAGGGAAGAAACAGTAAGTTTGAACCGCATCCCCAAATAGTCGGCGAGCCATTTCTCGACTTACTTATTTCCTGATGTGTCCACCGCCTGAATATAGAAATAGCGCGCGGGAAGGACGACCGCTGCTTTCAGCCCCGGTCCCCATATTTCGCTTCTCTCCGGGCTCAGTCGCCCCTCTCCGCCGGTCTCGGCCAAGGCTGGAACTGTCCCCAGAAAGAAGCAGTAAAGCAGCAAAATGCTAAACATTTACAAGATGGATTCAAAATGATCCACGGATAAATGAAGGGTAAGAGGTGGACGGAGCCAGCCGCGGCTTGGGCAGGGGCACGTCGGCCGATCGCAGCTGCAGACGCGGCTCCAAGAGGGGTCCTTTGCTGGTCTGGACTGCAGCGTGGGTCTCCCCAGAAAAATCACAACCGGAGCTCTGGCTGGTCTAGCCGAAGGATGCCAGCAGTTCTGCTGAAATGGGCAAGAACCACGTTGCTCCTCTTCCTCTGGACAATGACAAACTTACGCTGCTTCTGTAACTGGAGCATCATTGGGGGGCGAATCCGCCTCAGCTTCCAGCCCAAGGTGCAGGGCGAGGGGATTGGCCCGCGCGTCGGCCCGGGCTGAGTAAAGCCTTCTCCAAGTGGATGGCGGGGTGGAGACGCGTCCGGGCGCCAGGGCTTCCTGGGACGTGTAGTTCGCGCCAGGACTAGCGGAAATTCCGCAGGCTTTATCATCTCTCACTCTTTTATTTACTTTCCGGTCAGGGGACAAATAAATAGTAGATGCCCGATAGAGGGGCACAGCTGAGATTAAAAAAAAAAAACTGTCACCATATCCTCCACTCGTGCAGAGGGCAGGTATAAAACACGATGAAAGGGAGGTGTTATCAATGATATCTGACGATCGGTTGCCCGGCACAGCTGTCAGGGCACTGTCCCCGCGCGCTCCGATGGGACGAGAGACGCCAGCCCCAGGGTAACCGGAGGCGTGTCGCGGGCCGCGCGCTCGAAGCTGTGATTTCGAATCGGTGCCGGGCTCCGCCGTGGCAGCAGCAACCCGACCCCACCAGACAGGCCAGAGGTACACCGAGCTGTGGGCAGGGGCCGAGGTGGCGGCCAGCGGCAGTGCGCCCTGAGCGATGGGCCCTCCGCCCGGCACTGGGGAGCCTTGGGCCCGGCCTACAGCCTCAGC